AAGAGGTACTATATTCGATAAATATGGTAAGTTTTAAAGACTAACCATCACAATGTAGTATGTAGTTAGTTAAGATGAAACTAATGTCACAATTAACCACTAGAAGGCAGCAGCAAGCCATCAGAAAGTAACTCCCTGTCTTGTAACTAAGTAAGTAGCACTATTCTCCAATACATCTGGCTGTAGTAGTGCTAATATTTCTAAGAAGCTATTTCAAAGGCTCTCAAAAAATTAATAAGCGGAACTGAGGCCACACAATCAGTTTAAAATGAACTACGAAAAGCAAAATACCATTTTCTGTGAGAACACAGCAAAATTAAAGATTAATACACTCACCAGGGTCGGAAGTGTGGGGAAATGAATACTTTCACATTAGTGGGTCTCTAAACTAGCATAGGTTTCTGGAGAACAACTTGGCAAAATACAGCACAATCTAAAATGAGCAAACCTATTGACCTATTTGGAATCTGGCACAAGGACATTCACTGGCAGCGTTGTTTGTCATAGTAAAAAAAACTTGAGACAATCCAGATGTCTATCACCAGGGAAATGGTTAAATACAAATCCATATTATAAAATACCTCAAGCAGAATTTCTAAAAACTGAGTAGATCTATATTTTGATATGGAAGGATTTCTACCACATGAGTGAAAAAGACAACTGCATGATGTAAAGACACATTCATATAAAATGCTAGGAAAATGACACACACAAAAAAGATGCACACTAAATTGTTGGGGGAAAGGTCATGTAATGTGATTAAGGAGGGCGATGAGGCTGTTCTGTTTGTTTAAGACACCCTACGCTCTTTCTCTGTCACTCAGGCTGCAGTATGCAGTGGCACAATCATAGCTCACTATAACCTTGAGCTTCTGAGCTCAAGCAATCCTCCTGCCTCAGCCTCCTAAAGTGCTGGGATTACAGGCATAAGCCACTGTGCCTGGCCTGGCAGGGAGGGTTTTACCAAATTTATATCAGTATTATACTATTTTAATTTTCAACAAGCATTTTCTATTACTTGTATGATTTGAATGAGTAAAATTCAAGGCAGAAAACAGTAAGTGTAATGAGTATTTCTGTTACTGAAAACAATATAATTCATAATGCAGACAACAGACTATTTAAAAATTATAAGCACTTACATTTAAACAACTGTACTTTAGAGTTATTGCTAGTTTTAATAAAGGGTAACCTACAGTACAAACAAGTTTTAAAGGCTGGGCTACAAGTCAGTGGAAAATAGAGGTAATCAGTAGTTGTAGATAATTAAATATACATTGTAGTTTCATAGCTACAATGATGAACAACATTTTCTGACTCCCAACATGTTTCCTGAAGGAAAGTAAGAGAAGGAGACAGAGGCAGGGGAGGAGGGAGAAAAGGAAGGGGTAGAGAGGTGGGAGAGGAAAAGGGCAGGGAGAGGAGAAAGAGAAGGAAAAAAGGAAGCGAGAGGCAGGAGATGGGGAAATAATCAGAATCTTTAGATTCCTTGCCTCCATTAAAAAATAGGAATTTGGCTGGGCTCAGTAGCTCAGCCTGTAATCCTGCACCTTTGGGAGGCTGAGGTGAGTGGACGGCCTGAACCCGCGGGTTCGAGACCCGCCTGGGCAATTTGGCGAGACCTCATCTCTACAGTAAATAAAAAAATCAGCCGGGCGTGGTAGCGCATGCCTGTAGCTCCAGCTACTTGGAAGGCTGAGGCGAAAGGATCACTGGAGCCCAGCAGGTCGAGGCTGCGGTGGCTGGGAGCGGCCACTGCACTCCAGTCTGGGCGACAGAGTGAGACTCCAACTCAAAAAAAAAAGAAAAAAAGGAATTTGGACATTAAGAAATGTGCCTCAAAGTATATTCAACAATGCTAAATTCATTTCTTTCTTAAGAATTTTGTCAATACACAGACCAGTTACATTTGGGACCTTAGTAAATCACATACATTAATGACATCACAGAACTGAAAATACTTAGGAAATACCTAAAGTCATACCGAATCCATCCCCACAAAAGCCATTTTACCTATCAGTTTCTCTTTTAATACTTAAAAGATTACATAAACTTTTTCTCCCAATCAACCGGAACATCTTACCAAAAGAATTATGTGTTTTCTTGATCACGTCTATCATCCGTGTTTCCTTTTAGTCTTTAAATCTTGTTTGCTTTGTACCCCAATCTAAGCATTGGCACTTCTGTTTCCCTTTCACTAGGAAAAAATTAGCATTTAGGCACCTAATCCCTTACTTAGAACTAGGTCCAAAAAGGTCTTAAAAATTGTCGAAACATATTGGATTTTTAAAATATTTAATAGGCCAGTAAAGCTAACAGAAAACATATCTGCCCTGATATACCAAGTAAAATGACAAATCCACCTCTATAAAAACTGTTAATATCTGAGTGTATGTTTGGGGAAATAAGAAGGCAAACTCTTAATTTCCCAGGATTGTTTAAGGCATTTAATTGCCACTAAGCAGATAGATACAGACCTGTAACACACACACACACACACACACACACACACACACACACGGAGACCCAATTGCCACTAAGCAGACAGATACAGACCTGTAACACACACACACACACACACACACGGAGACCCAATTGCCACTAAGCAGACAGATACAGACCTGTAACACACACACACACACACACACACACACACACACACACACACACGGAGACCCATTAAGCACCAAGGTGATTTGGAACATTGTTTTCTAAAGTCTCATGGCAGGGACAGGTCTTGGGGAGGAAGTTGCTTGGCAACTGGAATTCTGATTTATCCATAGGTAACTTAATATAAAGCCTCCTAAGTTATGCACTATGTGAATTCATTATGTTGTTTGTTCCTACTATTTACAGCATTCTGAGCACAGTAAGAGCAGGTGGCTACTTAAGACAGCAACAAATTGACAGGAAAAAATAGAATACAAAGTTACACTTAAATGAGTCACTTTCTCCCTTTTCTTCCCCCTCATCTTCATCCTTCAAAGCAGAAGCAAACATAGTTTATTCCTTCTCCTCCCACCAAGTGTCAGAAGACAACCATCCTACAGCTCCTAAAAGCCATACAGAGAAATAAAAACATTGTAACTAACTATGATTGCTCAAAGAACTGTGTAGCAGGAGCATCTGGGTATAAAAGGATAGTTTTATGGAGGGGAAAAAAAAAAAAAAAAAAAAACAGTCCACGTGAAGGAAGGGCAGAACAGAAAAGCCACTGTCTGGAGAGGAAGGGCTCCAGAATGACCGTTTACTTCGTGTATAAACTGCTCAGACAGAAACATTCGTCAGGAAGAAAAGCCAATTACTAAAGAAAACTGCTTCCAAACCATGGCAGCTACTGGAACACATTATTAATAGGTATAAACCACTCCTGAACACTAAATTTTTTCCTTTTCCCTTCACTGTAGAAAAACATTTCATGCAGTGAATATTGTTCCAGAAACCAAGAGTGAAAGATATTGAGATTCAAAATATTATATTATAAAATTTTGCTGCAATTTTAAAATTTAATAATTAAAAAATAGCCAGAATAGCTTAGAAATCTGTCCATTGAAATAGCGTAAGGAAACTAGTTGAGTGTTTCCCTTTGTAAAGATGTTTATTCCTGCTTACCCAGCACTAATACTTTCCCCTTTGGTGTTCTTCATTTATTGCTATAAACTTCTACTCTGAAGAATCCTACCCAAGCTACCAAACTATCTGGAACCACTTAAGAGTATTTTTAGGAGCTAGCCTTTTTGGTTATTGTTGGTACTTTTAAATAAACCCTAATGCTCTCTATACAGTTTTTCCCACAGAGAATAATCCTTAACATCCCAAAAAGAGAAAGAGAAATTACTGAATTTTGTAGTTAAGACAAGTTTCATTAAATGGAACCTCTTTAAAAGAAAACTTTCCTTTACTATACATGTTTGGCAAATGAAATAATAAGATAGTGTCCTTTAGTAAATAAAAGAAAGTTGTATCTGTACCTAAAACAATTCTCACCAAGAAAATATGACTTTAAAATAAAGTTCCAAACTGGATACAGTGGCTCCTGCCTATAATCCCAGCACTTTGAGAGGCCAAGGCAGAAGGATTGCTTGAGGCCAGGAGTTCAAGACCAGCTTGGGCAATATAGCAAGATTCTGTCTCTATTCTTTTAAAGATAATTTTTTAAAAAGAAAAAAAATTCCAGTTTTAGGATGCAGAGAAATTTGGAAGTTGAGTCCAAGGATAACTCTTCTTTTTTTTTTTTTTCTGAGTTGGAATCTCACTCTGTCGCCCAGGCTAGAGTGCAGTGGCATGCTCACAGCCACCACAGCCTCGACCTTATGAGCTCAGGCAATCCTTCTGCCTCAGTCTACCAAGTAACTGCAACTGCAGGTGCACACCACCACATCCAGCTAATCTTTTTGATTTATTATAGAGATGAGGTCTCATCATGTTGCCCAGGCTGGTCTTGAATCTATGGGTTCAGGCAATCCTCTTGCCTCAGCCTCCCAAAGTGATGGGATTACAGACGTGAGCCGCCATGCCCAGCATAAGGGTAACTCTTAAAGCAACTCCGAAAATTGCTCTTTAAGGTCAATCAGCACCAAAAAACAATCTCAGACTGGTTTTAGGCTGCTGGCATCCAACAATAAGCAAAATATTTAGTAATAGTTTAAGTTAAGCTCAATCAATCTATTCCAAACCACAACCATGTAATCCACTGTTTTGGATGAACTGCTAATTCTCTGTATGGCTCCCTTCACAGTAACTTTTCAAAAAATTATGAGATCAACTTAAATTCAATAAATGTTTTATCATATACCACTATATGCTAGGCACTGTGCCACTAGCTAGAAACATGGAAAAATAGCAATTTAAGGGTTTAATTCAATTTAAGGGCTTAATCATCAAGTTTCTGATCAACTCTGAAAGATAGTTCTTAATATTTATAGGAATGCCTGGACTCTGAAGTATTCACTTATAACCACTGTCATGTTCTGCAGTGGTGATTCAGTTTTGTTTTTTACCTTCATTAGCCTCAGGCCTTGAATTCTTGATATATGCAGAGAATTTGGCAAAGATGTCCATTCCAGCAGTATTTGATTCTGGGTGCTTTGGTGAAAGCTTTAAGTACCTAAAAAGAAAAAGTAATCACAAGTTACAGATCCTTCAAAGATATCTCTCAAAGTTCTCTCAAACCATTGGGCTAGCAGTTACTAGCCATCATTTAACAGTTATTATTCTGGCTGGGCACGGTGGTTAATGCCTGTAATCCCAGCACTTTGGGAGGCAGAGACAAGAGGTTGCCTGAGTCCAGGGGTTTGAGACCAGCCTGGGCAACTTGGCAAGACCTTGTCTCTACAATAAATCAAAAAATTAGCTGGGTATGGTGGCGTGTGCCTGTAGTTCCAGTTACTTGAAAGGCTAAGGTGAGACTGCCTGAGCCCAGCACGTCGAGGCTAAGGTGGCTGTGAGTGTGTCACTGTACCCCAGCCTGGGTAAAAGAGTGAGACTCCTACTCAAAAAAACAAAATTAAATAATAAAATTAAATTAAAATTTTAAAAGCAGTTATTACTCTAGAAATGCCATCATGTATTTTCTATGACTTTTTTAATGTGTTTTTTCCTTAGGAAACAAAGCTCTGCACTGTGTTTTTGTTCACTTATTAATATTCTTGGCATCTGCACTCCATTTGATAAATTAGAATGCTAGGGAAATAGTCAACTTTTCTGAGATTTGAGCCAAGCCAATGGGTGTCTTAGAATGAGATCTCTAGAGCAGCACTGTCCAAGAGAACTTTCTGTGATGACAGAAATGTTCTATATGTCCATCGTCTAACGGGAGTCATTAGGGCCATGTAGCTACTTTAATAAGAATTTAAGCTACAATTAAATAAAATTTTAAAATCACTTCCTCAGCCGCACTAGTCACATTTCAAGTGCTCAACAGTCAGCAGACAGTACAGCTCTAGAGTCTTTTCAAACAACGATGCCAACCAGATCCTTAGTATGCCCTGCACTAAGCCAGCCCATGCAAGAGCACCGAAGAACCCTGACAGCAGGACAAGAGCCCAGGCTGGTTGAGCACATTGGTTACCAAGCAGGTTAAGGGCAAATACAGGAGGCAGATCATTCACTTCAAGCCCACACCCAAGATTTTCCAGATCCTTATATGAAACCATATATGAAACACTCCATGGTACAATTATGAGGGTAGCACTGAGCGACTGAAAAATAGGATGTCAGAAATTATACTGACCAGTACTCTGACTCTGTTATGTTGTTACAATGTTTTTCTATTTTGAGAACAGAAATGATACTCCAGCTTTTTTAAACACACACACACACAAACTGAGTGTTTTACATTTTTAGATTTCAAATACAGATACTCAGTGTATATTCCTCCCTCAAACTGGAAAATAACTGTGAAAAAGCTCATTTATTTCTCTTCCCTTCAGCAAGGCTTGCATCAGTTCTAGGGAGCAGGGCTGTAGGAATTCAGACTCTCAGCCCCATTTTAGGGAAGACCCATGAGCTTGAAGGCCCTACAAAATGGCACTAGAAAACAAACTTGGGGCAGTAAGTCGTTAGACAAGAAAATCATTGAACTAGTTATTTTGATTTATTAATATATTTGAAGATACTGTCTTACTAGTTTAAATTAAAAATTAAGGTGAGAAGCTTTTGAAAGAAATTTAGCTCAGCTGCAAGCTATGTTTCAGCTTAGTTATTACATTCTTATTTCTTCTATTTACTATTTTAAATTCAGGAAGCAATATATCCTCTAAAAATTGGGAATAGTACTACATTGGTAAGAAGGATGTAAAATAGCTACTGAACATCCATATGCTCAAGATATCTTTCTTGTTAATAGGTCTGCCTAGTCTCCAAATATCTCTCAATTTTTAAGCTTAAAGAATTCTTTTTTTTTTTGAGTTGGAGCCTCACTCTGTCGCCCAGACTGAAGTGCAGTGGCCGCTCCCACTGGGGCTCTGGCGATCCTTCCGCCTCAGCCTTCCAAGTAGCTGGAAGAACAGGCGTGCGCTACCACACCCGGCTAATTTTTTGATTTATTGTAGAGATGAGGTCTCACCAAGTTGCCCAGGTGGGTCTCGAACCCACAGGTTCAGGCAATCCACTCACCACAGCCTCCCAAGGCACAGGAATACAGGCTGAGCCACTGAACCCGGCTCTTGAAGAATTCTTAACACAATTATTTACATAAAGTTTTTTCATTGAAAAATTATAGTACATGAGTTTCACCTATTTATATACCTATATCTATCTAGATACACCCCCTACCTACGGAAACCTTTACTCTCCCGCGTGTGGTTTTTTTCCCCCCCTGCATGATCTAAAATAGTTAATCCAGGTCCAACATCCCTGGATTACCCTTGACTATAAAAACAACCAGGCTGGCTGAGCGCAGTGGCTCAGTCTGTAATCCCAGCACTTTGGGAGGCCAAGGTGAGAGGATTGCCTGAGCCTGGGGGTTCGAGACCAGCCTGGGCAACATGGTAAGACCTCATCTCTACAATAAATAAAAAAAACTAGTCAGGCATGGTAGCATGTGTCTGTAGTTCCAGCTACTTGGAAGGTTGAAGCAGAAAGGTTGCTTAAGCCCAGCAGGTCGAGGCTGTGGTGGCCGTGAGCATACCACTGCTCTCCAACCTGGGTGACAAGAGTGAGACTCCAACTCAAAAACAAAAACAAAAACCAGCCTCCAGTTTAAATATCAGGCACCACGTGTAATACAGGACTTTCATTCACTCATTTCAAACAAAAAATAGTGCAGGGAACACTAAGTGCCTTTTCAATGCAGCCATGTCTTCCTCTAGCCAAGTTTCCAAAAGTCTTCTTCTTTTCCCCAACCAGTATTTTACTCTACCTACTTTTTCTAATGAAATAAACCTCATATTTCTTAAAATAACTTACAGGAAGGCAGGCTTGAATTACAGATCGCTTATATATTAATTATTCACACATATATTATAACTCTTAAAATTACTAAGCATTTACTATGTGCCAGGCACTGAAGTAAGTGTTGGGGATGTAATGAGCATGGAAAAGCACATGCACTACAGTACTTTGAAAATACACAGAAGCTCCCACTAGAGATGCATGCTGCTAACAAGTAAGCATGAAGGAGGACTTACAATCAACATATCCTTATCTGTATGCAAATAGATGCTATTAAAATTCTGAAAATAACACTGTTCTCTAAAGGTTAAACATGCTCTATTGTCCCTGTCTGAGACAAATTGTTAAATTTGCACAATTAACTTAATGCATAAACCACTAGAACTACAAGAGAACATTCACCTCAAATCTTTCATTTTATCTTAAAGGAAATTATGTTCCAGAAAGTTTACACACTTGGCTCCAAGGTCACTTGACCAGTTAAAAACACTGACAGCCGGGCTCAGTGGCTCAGCCTGTAATCCCACGCTTTGGGAGGCTGAGGTGAGTGGATTGCCTGAGCCCGCGGGTTTGAGACCCGCCTGGGCAACTTGGCGAGATCTCATCTCTACAATAAATCAAAAATCAGCCGGGCGTGGTAGCACACACCTGTAGTTCCAGCTACTTGGAAGGCTGAGGCGGAAGCATCGCCGGAGCCCAACAGGTCGAGGTTGTGGTGGACGGGAGCGGCCACTGCACTCCAGTCTGGGCGACAGAGTGAGACTCCAACTCAAAAAACAAAAAAAATACTGACAAACCAAAAGTCAGCTCTCCTACCCCTAGGTCCAGTGTTTTTTCCTACTATAGTTCAGAGTCTCTCCAAAAGATAAATCAAATTCTAAACTAGTAGGTCCAAAATCAACTTTTTGTATCTTCCCCAAACATTATATCTTAATGCATTCACTATGATCAGTTTTAGCAAATAGATTGATAAAGCAGTGACTTTCAATTACTGTGAACATTCATTTCAACATTAACACAAGTGAGGCAAATATGTGTCAACAACAAATGGACATGAGCACACTGGGTATTTAGACTTTCAGATTAGTCCTTTACTCTAATTACAGGCTCTTAATGATATACTAGTTAAGAATATTTCTATGCTTTTAGAAAAGAAAGAACTCAGATATTTTCTCCTTTCTCATGTTAACATAAAAATGAATGCTGATTATACAGCCTATTAATTATCCTTGCAAATTCTTTGATTGTATTTCTCATTCTTGAAAGGTCTTTTTTTTTTTTAAGTTGGAGTCTCACTCCATTGCCCAGGCTGGAGTGCAGTGGCACGCTCACAGCCACCCCAGCATGGACCAGCTGGGCTCCGGTGATTCTTCCGCCTCAGCCTTCCAAGTAGCCAGAACCACAGGTGCATGCTACCAGGCCCGGCTAATTTTTTATTTATTGTAGAGACGAGGTCTTGCCAAGTTGCCTGGGCTGGTCTTGAACCCGCAGATTCAGGCAATCTACTCGCCTCAGCCTCCCAAAGTGCTGGGATTACTGGCTGAGCCACCGAGCCCAACCTTGAAAAAGTCTTAATAACACTTTATAAAGCTCTTCTCCAAATTTATCTAGCTTCCTTCTATTTATCTTTTTATCAGTAAGTTACCCAAGCATACAGGCCTGCTTCGGTTAAAACTCCAAGTTTCAAAGCTTTCTGGCAAAGTAGTTCATTTTTTTAAGCAAGAGAAACTAAAAAACAAAGCAAAACAAAAAACTTTCCCCAGAGGAGAAGAAACAGAAAGTTCACATGAAAACTTACAGGCTTGGCCATTGCTTTGTAAACAAACAAACAAACAAACAAAAAACTAAAAGCCCTTGCTTTGTAAAAAATAGTAAAACTTACAAGCTTGCTTGAGCCCAGGAGTTCAAGACCCACTTGGACAATATAAGTGAAACTTTTTGCTACAAAACAAACAAACAAACAATTAGCCAGGTGTGGTGGTGTACACCTGAAGTCCCAGCTACTTAAGAGGCTGAGATGGGAGGACTGCTTGAGCCCAGGAGTTTAGGCTGCTGTGAGACACGATCACATGTGCCACTGTACTCTAGCCTGGGCAACAATGAGAACCCCGACTCAAAAAAAAAAAAAACTTGCAGTTACATACTAGCAAAAGTTCTTGGATTTAACCTTTCCATTAAATTTTGGGGAAAAAAAAATTTTTTTTTTTGAGTCAG